GATTAAGGAACTGACCTCACAGCCCATTGTTCCTTCAGTGGGCTGGTTTCAGTCATTATGTAAATGTACTGTTTATAAGATTGGGGGAACCTGCAGTCAGCTGAGACTGAAGAAGTCACTTGGATGAGTGACGAAACGTTTCTCCCAGAAAACGCTACGTCCAGCTGAACAGAATCAACTTTTGGAGGTGTGTCTGTTTAGTTAGTCTTTTTTTTTTTTTTTACCAGCAGTGTGAGTTGTTCACACTCAGTTCACACTGCTTCCTCTGGCTTTATTATTTCTAACTGAAGGCCTGAACACCTATATGGAAATGTGGGTGTTTCTCTTCCAACAGACAGTAAGCAGACTGACCCCTGAAGGATTTAGGCCACTGGTCTAATGCAGTTAAGCCTGGACGCTACAGAGGTCAGGTGTCATAGATTAATTAGGATTAACCAATAGGGTCCAGTCAAATAACTTCAGATAACTTATTAAACATAAGTTATAAGTTAGCAATGACAGAAACTTTATCAATCATTCTGATAAAAACGTATGATAATTGTTTCTGCAGCTTTAGTTTCTTTAAACTTGATCATGAGATCCCTTGGAAGATCATGACTCCACAAGCAGCATACAAACATCACTTAGAAACAGCTGCAACATGTATTGAATTTAATTCAATAATCCCACCCTCCCTCCCCTTTTTTCCAATTCTTTCACCTCTTCACTTCTCATTAGTAAATGGTGATCTGCTAGGCCCGGGAGCCACCGACAGTCTCAGTCGAGGCCTTCCCCAAACCTCAGCTCAATTCTTGATTAAGCCATTTGCCTTTATCTACTAAAAAGTGCTGCCAAACCTAAAATGAGGATGTGGGCCCAGCTAGTGAAACGATTGACTGACTAACTGCTCTGCATGCAGTAGCAACAGTTCCTGTTCCTCCCTTTCAGTCGTATGAGGAGTAATGTGGAGGGAAAGTACCTGATGGATGGTGTTCCCTTCAGCTGCTGCAGCACCTTCTCCCCTTGGCCCTGCATCCAGCACCATCTCAGCACCAGCTCGACCCAAGACGAGAAAAGCCAGCAGCTGAACCTGTGGAGGCGGGGCTGCCAACAGGCCCTGCTAGACCACTACACCGGCATCATGCAGTCGATCGGCCTCACCGTGCTACTCATCTGGCTTTTTGAGGTACTGGTGATTTTGCTGAAACTAGAACTGTCGGTTCATACAGAACAGAAGTGAAAGCACAGAGGTTTACAAATCAGCTCCATAAAAAGAGATTTTTTAAAACCCCAATAAGATCTTCAAAGCCATCATCATGGACCTCTGTGGTTTTAAAGGAGACTCACTTTCTGTGATATATGCCATGATCTAATCTCAGATGTTCACTAAATGTGGCTAAATTTTCAAATAATGAGGTAAACATGCAAATCAAATAGAATCTAATCTAATCCAAAGAATGTGAGGGCCTATTAAAGTAACAGAATGTAAATCAGCTTGTTTCGGAAGATGACGGCCTTGTATCAGATGAAGATGGATCATTTTGTACTCTGGCTCATGCATAGCTGTGCTGGTAGAGTCCAACAATGAAAGTGAGGAAGTGGAGCAGCACCAAAAATCAACACTTCCATTGTTGTAGTAGCCTCATAATAGAAAATCAGAGGAACGAGGACAGAAAGAGTGCGTTCATGTTTCTTTTATTGTTCTCGATAGGCACTATTGTATAACATATTTCTGTCAAAATGCAGCTAATAAATGAACCGTGTCCTTGTGTTAGAATAATGCCTGAATGCTATAGTATTTCAGTTTGGTTATATTAATGTGTGCTACATCAGTGAGCTATCCAATGTTGCACTCAGTAGAGTCCTAAGAGTTTTTCTGCTTTCCTGCAGCGTGTCACCTCCCTTTCCCGAAACATCTGTGAACCTCTGTACGGGGAAGGAGGTGTCTTATTCCATTCCATTCAGCCGACTCAGAGTTGAAGGAGCTAATAAATATAAATGAGAATGATTCAGCTCTGTAATGTGTTGTACAGCATCATGGACCACAGGGCTAGGGTTGAGTGTGTCTTTTCCTCTCTATTGGCCTATCACAGCAGCTCGAGCATCAGCTGGAAAGCCACCAAATGATTCCTGTAGCGTTTTTTCAGAGACACCCTCATGGCACTTTTCTAACTGTGGATGTGAGACAAGAGCCTGGGTACAGAACTCCAATTCAGTTTCCATCACTGCAGAAAAAACAATGTGAGCAACAAGAGTACCTTGATGAACTCAGGGATGCCTTAGGATCTGACAGTAAATAATGTTCACCTCACAGGTCAGCTGTTCTACACAACTTTCATTTAGTGATTGTGCAGCTCTTTTGGATAAATCCTGAGCTTCACCTGAGACTTAGATCTCAGGACCTTGCACAGTCCCAGCAGCTTATATCAGCAGAGTTCTCCCTGATATCATGAGCATATTGATCCTCCTTGCCTCATCTCGTTGTTTTTGGAGAAAAACAGAAGTAAATCCCGAGCTTGCACTGAGTGTGTTTCTTATACCCTTATTTTTCAGCTACAGATTAACACTGCTCATGGTTAATAAAATGAACTGACTGCTCTTGTGTGTTTATATGTTTATAAATGATAAATTTGTCACATTTACATTCGGCTCAGTCTGTGGGTGAGAGCATGTGGTCCGACCCTAGCTTCGTACAGTAATACCAGTCTGATGTGCACACCGTTTTACCACCCTTAATCACCGGATTATTACAAAAGGTGGGACCAAAAGTGTCAGCTTCACCCCATCCAATCAAGATCCCCATAGCAGACTAATGCTCTTATTGCAGATTTAACACTGAGCAGTTTCAGTGTCTTAAAAGCAACCATGTTAAAGGCAGGGAGATCACAAGATGGGGGCACACAGTTACAATACTTCTGGTCACACTGTGGTCTCCACTGTGACTGAAGTCTAAACTTGATTAAACATACTGTATTTCCTTTTTCCACCAGTTGCTGGTTCTGACAGGTGTCCGTTATCTGCAGACGGCCATGGAGAACGTTCTCCGGCTGGGTGATCCAGAGTCGGAATCAGATGGTTGGATTTTGGAAAACAGCCTGGCAGAAACGGCCCGGTCCAACTTTAACATTATTAAGAACCTGGGAAAGTGTTACCAGGTCGACGACGACCCAAACATCAATGTCCCGACTGCTGCTCCAGAGGAGGAACTGCCATCACAGCAGGTCCAGGTCCTCGTGACCAGCTAGCCTCCAGCCTGTGGAGTCATGGACAGCAGAAGGAATGAGCTGTTCCAAAGATGCTTTTGACTCGGGATAGAAATCACTTCATTCTCCAGGATGCAGAGTGAATCAAGTGGATCTGACACATTTAGCGTCATCCCAGAGACAAGAACAAAAACTTGATTGTTTGATCGAAAAAAGTTTGGAACAGTGGCTAAACTTTACCTGCTGAGTCCTTAGAGCTCTCAGATTTATGGACCAACAAGGTCTTCTGCCTTCAGATACGTGAGTTTGAATAGGTTTTACCTTGATGGGTTTACAGGTTTATAAATGAACTCTTTGTGATGTATGATAAGAGGAGTTATTTTTTATACTTGAAGTAAATTACAAAGCCATGAACTGATACCTTTTGGTCTTTGATTGCATTTTTAATTTTTACCATTCTCCAAAGAAGTCTGATCACTGTGAAAAAAAATCAACAGCCCATCAGTTAAAGCCTGAAAACAGTACAAATACAGGTTGGGCCATTTATATGGATACACCGTAATAAAATGGGAATGGTTGGTGATATTAAAGTCCTGTTTGTGGCACATTAGTATATGTGAGGGGGCAAACTCCTCAA